CACCAGTTCCTGGTTTTCGCGATTGATTTGTAGATTCTTTACTTCTAGGTTCGAGAGCTGCCTCATCACCAAGTCATGTGCCGACGCAAGATTCTCATGTGCAAGCGCAAGCACATCGCGACGATTCACCAGACAGAGAAGGGCTCTGTGTATGCCTCTATTAGACTTCGACCTAACTCTAGGGCTTTTCGTGGGTACGTACCTCTCAGCAGGGGTGGCAGCTTTCAGGTGAACAGCTTTGAGAATAGGCTCGGTCACGAGGATAGTGCGAACGGCCTTCCTCCTGACCGTGTAAGTAGATCGCGCCTCGAGGAGCTCACGTTCGGCTATTGCGAGCTGTTCTTCGGTATCTGCGCCCGAAAATGATTCCATTTCTAATAGGATGAAAGCGATTAGAAATGAAGACAGACAAAAAAGCAAAAAAGGACCGAAAAAGGAAAAAAAAAACAAGAATTTAAGTATAGCGAAGCCTTTATCAGGTGTACCTTGTTCGAGAAATGCCTTTTCTAGTTGTTGTTCCTGGACTTGGTTGTAGAGCTGCAACACCAAGGTCTCTTTATCCGATAAAGTCACGACATCGCGAGAGTCATCTGTAGAATAATCTAGTAGTGCCACCTCACCAGATTGCAGGTGAGGCAGCGACAGGCCATGTTTTGCAGCCATGGATGTAGATCCCATGAACGCGGACGTATCTGGTGATAAGAAGATGAGACCGGAGGCGGTGGGCGAGCTTCCCTGGCCACACGAGGTTGCGGAGCAACCTTCAACGTCCTGACCAGCCTGATCGGGGGCTTCAGGACTCTCATACTTTTTCTTTTCTCCCTTCCGTGTATCTTCTTTAGGAAATAATTCTCATTTTTCTCTCTTACTGAGCATCTAAGCTCGCCTGGTGCAGAGGGGGGTAATGTCGTTGCACATCTACATTGCTCACACTGGGGAGCATTTCCTGGCTGATCCAGTGGCATTTGCCTCGTAAGTCTTCAATATCTCTATTTGATGTTGTCTACTATCTGGTTATCTATGTTTGAATGAACTATCCGGACTCCAGCTGACGCCTGTCTATCGTCTATAGTCCCGATGCTTTGAAGTCATGGATTGTTCGCAATACATCCATCCCACCTCCACGGCAAATATTGATGACCGCCCGGGGAAAGAATGTCAAGATCCAAACGCTCGCTACCGAGGTGCGAGATTATCAATATCAATCATGACCTAGAATTATGCTAACTCATAGGCAACCATCGCAGAACGAGATCTTCGTATATGACCGACAATACGTCAGTGAACCAGGCGACGTCGAATTTCCGGAACTACCTCCTCCCCAACCATTCCGACCCGGTACCCCGCCAGCTATCCTCAAAGACGTGAATGACCTCCAGGCATGGCGGAACCTCTATATGACACGGCGCAACTGGGCACTGGACTTGTCTAGTCGCTGTGGGGCAATTGACAAGAACCTCCGAGAACATAACGAACGAACCGATGTTATAAATCGCGCGGTGGGCGTGGCTCTAGAGAATCTCAAGTCTCATGTGGGTAACCTAGAGCATCGGTTCCAGGAGGCACAGTCGTGGGCGAATAGCCTTTTAGAAGAGCAGCAGGCTGCTTTAGATGGCTGGCAACGAGCTCTTTCCACATTGGACAACATACCGGCGCGGAAAGATTTCCCTCTTCTTGGACGCCCGTCTACGCCCAAAATGGACAAGGATCGACCAACCGGAACGCTGCGTGACTTTGTCGACGTAGGCGAGGTTCAACGGGCTGGATCAGAGGCGGCATCTGTGTCGTCGGCCTTTGCTGGTAGCGTCCATGACATCGAGAAAACAATCAGTGACATCGCCTCGGACACTCAACGACTTGTGGACGAGGCTCTTGGCTCAAATTTTGACGAGGTGGATGGACTGCTGGAAGAAGTGGAGACTATTGCGAAGAAGATCGGGTCTGATTATGAGCATGTTCTCAGTCTCCCAAACAACCAGAAAACGTTGGCCAATATATCAAGGCTTGCATTGAGCCATACCAAGGACCTTCTTCCTTCGCTGGTGGAGATCAGCGTCGAGCTTCAAGTTGCGCTGGAGCATGCTGTGCAGCGCCGGGGGGCCGCGGAGAAATCGGCCATTGCACATATGCGCACGATCTCCTCCCTTGAGTCTAGACTTGCCGACGCCCATGCACGAATGGTCAATCTGGACGTAGGGAGTAATGCCTTTGAGGTTATCTACTCTGTTTTCCAGATGCCAATGGTGTATGGGTCGATTCTTATCGAATCTGTGCGGCGGCGAGAATGGAGCGATAAGATCAAAACTGATTCCCTGACGCTGGCTGAGGAGATGGCGGTTTTGAGAGATGAAGAGCAACGCCGTAGGAAAAAATGGCTAAAAAATATGGGAGACTTTATGACTGTGACTGATTCCACCACACCAGGAATCGAAGTCAACCTTCAAGGTCAGGATGAGGAATGGCCTGATGTAGCTCGGAAAGAGATCGAGTATTACATCGACGATTTAAAGACCACCCATTCCTTGACCAACCTAGCGGAACAGCTTACCCAGCAACTCAAGGAGCTGGATGCACCCACTCGGCAGCAAAGACGACGGGCCAAAGCGTTCAAACAAGGCAGCGTATTTGACTTGAGTCGGAGCTCTATATTACGCGCCGATGACTCCGTGCGTAGCTTGCAAGAGGAAAAAACGAAGCTAGAAGAACGGCTCAAGGGGTCTGACAGTCGTGTTCGGAAATTGGAAGATCTTTTGCATCGTCAAAGTCATCTCAGCCGGCCACCGAGCGGCACCTTCGGCCCAGACTTCCCTGGTTCACCTGCATCTCCACACCCTGATGCACTTTCCAGACGGTCATCCGTCTCTTCGAGGCGAGTCTCAGCCACTCAGTCTGCCGAAGACAAAGCCCTCATCCAGCGTATTGTTACGCTTGAAGCAGAGCTGGCAGCCGAGAGAGATGTGGTCCAGCGACTCCATAAGGAAGCCCACACTGAGCGCCAAACCAACTCCGACAAGTACCAAGAAGCTCAATCCACCAAAAAGGACCTCATAGGCAACCTCGAAGCGCGCCAACGCGAATTCGAAGATGAGCGCCGATACCTGGACTCGGAGTTGAAGAAGTTCAGACTCCGTACTGAGGAAATGGAAGAAGAGCTTGATCGACTTATGGATAGCAGGGAGCATGGAAGACAAGAGATTGACGATCGCATACACCAGCTTGAAGTCGACCTTGAAAATGCCCATGCCAATTCCGCCGAGGACACACGAAAAATTATTGAGCTCAACGCACAAATTCTAACTCGGCAAGAGCGAGAAGAAAGCCTCCAGGCTAATATTGATGATCTCGAGCACAGACAAGCGGAGTTCGAGCAAAAGCATCAAGACAGTTACCAAGCCCTCCAAGCTATCTTCATGAACCTCTCTCCCGGGGGCATTGTGCCTGTCGAACTTCTCGACATAATCAAAGCCATTGAGGTTCTCTCTGAGGGTCTGTCGATCCACGCCAAGAGCGCAGAATCAAATGCATCCCAGGCAATGGCTGAAAACAAGGCCCTCGAAGAACAAATTGTGAAATTTGAGTCGGAGGCAGAAGAGCGGACAAAGAGCTTCGACGAATGCCAGGGTGAATTATCGCGACTAACTGCAGAGCTCTCACGCGTGAAATCAAATTCGGAAGACTTGACCGGCGAACTAGACAAAGAGCGATCCAAGTTCAGTTCCTTGCAGTCTCAAATAGCTGCTGGAGAGAGTGGCTCTGAAGCGCTGCGTGGACAGATCGCCGAAGAGGAACGGAAACAGGCAGAGCTGTCACAGAAGCTGGCAGAAGCCGAGAGTGAAGCTCGAAATTTGAAAGATCAGGCCACAGAATGGGAGAGAAAAGCAGGGGCCACCTCGGACACCGAGGAACAGTCCGTAGCACGATTTGAAGCTCGGGGCACCAAGTCCTTCGAGCTTTCGAATCAACTCTTCGCACAGGTTGAGAAGCTGGGTCGGATGCTCGAGCAATTAGGTTTCACTATTATCCAGCAAGATGGTCAGCTCGTCGTCCAGCGTGCTTCGAAGCTCAGTGCATCGGTGGGCCTAGGCGAAAGCCTCGCCCAGTCAGGGATTGTATCCCTGAAGCCAGATACAGCGCTTTTGGACTGGATGAAAGCTGAAAACCTGGAGGATGAAGAGACTAAATTCTCCGCTTTCATGGAAAGTCTAGCTCAGTTCGACGTTGCCCTATTTGGTGATGTTATTGTCAAACGCGTCAAGGACATTGAACTCCTAGCCCGAAAATGGCAAAAGGAAGCTCGAGGCTATCGTGAAAAATACCACCGAGCTCAGAGCGACGCCCATGACAAGATTGCCTACCGATCCTTCAAAGAAGGCGATCTTGCTCTCTTCCTTCCCACACGGAATCAAGCCATTCGCTCCTGGGCAGCCTTCAACGTGGGTGCACCACACTATTTCCTACGCGAGCAAGATTCCCACAAATTACAAGCTCGAGACTGGCTTCTCGCCCGCATCACGAAGATCGAGGAACGAGTTGTAGATCTGTCCAAGTCAATGAATGGCGTCGCACCAGACCGTCGCTCTCTCGGGGACGCCAGCGATGGCACCTCCCTAGACGACGAGAATCCATTTGAGCTTTCAGACGGCCTCCGTTGGTATCTCCTCGAGGCCGTAGAAGAGAAGCCCGGTGCGCCTGCTACACCGGGCATAGCGAAGAGCACAGTTGCATCAGCGCACGTCGATGCCAAGGGTAGTATCCGCCTCAAACGTGGCACGGACGAGGGTGCCATTGCCAAAACCTTGTCAAGAAGTCTTGATAGCCGTCGCGAGAGTTCGAATTCCAAACGGGGTACCCCCACGCCGTCGCAGCACGCTGTCGAATCCACGACTGATCTTGTACGCCCCGCCGAAGCTGACGCCGGCTCGCAGCCTCGAGAGGCTGCTCCGACCGTCAACGAGGTTCGCCGTGACCTGCTCTCTGGCCCGTGAAAAGTAGGGATTGACTTAGTTATCTTCCGTCTTTTCCGGGTCTGTTTTTATGATCTGGCCTCGGGTGCTAATAGGTTTCTTTGGCTTAGGATCCTCTTTCTGCATCGGCTCAACCAAATATAAGTGGCATCGCTTCTTCTCCCGCTCGGTCGACGGCCGATCGTCGACGACCTCGCCCGTGGGAGAAATTGTGGTCTCTTGACTATCGACTCGAGGGTGGCGTACCATAGACCGTTTTCTTGCTTTATTTTACAAGCTCTGCAGTAATAGGGCGTTGCATTGTTCTTTTCGTTCTGTTTCTTCTTTTTTTTTTTGGTTTGTCCCCTGCGCAGATTGCGCCCCATCCGGGGACCCATACACGTCCATTTGCTTTTGACATTGATTTAGTCCAGATACCCAACAATGCAATTTACACTTGAATATATCGATCTACTTGAAAGGACGTAGGGCATGAGGTGCCGGTCGAGCTTTATGAAACATACGTCAAAACAAAACTAAATATACAAAGCATTTTACATGGCGAGTAAGCCGGGATCGAGTGAAATCTAGATGTGGCATGATCATGAAAGATAAATCATTAGTCTAATCCTTCCATGCCGCCCATGTCATCCCAGAATTGACTGAAATCCACGTTCTCATCTTCGAACATCTGCTTCGCTTGCAGCATCGCTGATCGTTGCCGTTCCGCAGTGAAGCCACCAGGCCGTGAGCTCTCCCATTGAATTAGCTCGACCCAACGGAGGAAGAGATCCTCCTTACCCATCTCAGTCAATTTCTCCTTGAAGGCGAGGATTTGGTCGCGCTGAATTGATCGCTTCTCGCCCGTGGGGGTATTCTCATCTTCGACACGCCAGATCAGCCAACCATCGGCATCCGTGTTAACCAACACAGCAGTGCGGAACTCATCCATCTGTACACCATCGCCTCTGCGAGTGCGATCAACAAGAGCATGAGCGCGAACCATAGCCGCATAATCTAGATTCCAATCCTCGTCCACGAGCAAGTAACCAGTCTTTCCGATTCGCTCGGGGGTCACAGCGGCGACGATCTTATCGCGACGCACCTCATCTTCGCGGATCCACCTGTTGCGCTCGAGCTCCTTGCTCCAACTGCGGTTACTGCGGCGGACAATGATCTCTCGCTCACGGAAACCGATGGCGCGACGCCAGCGCACGGGCCCTCTAATGAAATTAACTGGCCATGACCACAACAGGGTCACAAGGAAGTAGTCGATGCATATAGTAACCGTCCGGCGAAGAATGATTTGTACCGAGTCTGTCCACGAGGCGGCTGCCGTGTCCACAGTCATGGAACTTTGAAGTCCGATGAGCGTTGCCACGAGGGCTGGATATGTACTGATTCCCATGTAGATCCGTAGACCAATCACAGCAGTTACTACCAGGTTGACGATGAGGGGTACGGTGAAGGTCTGCCGCTTCAGTTCCTCTGCTGAGATGTCGATGTGGACTAGATATACTTCGTCGGGAGAGAGTTGTTCGACAAACGGCTGCAAGACTTGCGGGACTTTGGTGAATGGTGGAATCGGGCCTGAAGATGCGGAGCTTGGTGTCGAGGCTCCGGATGACGCTGGGGTCGTCTTGCCGCGACCTGAGCGCCGTGATGATTTTGCCATGATGGAGGTTGATAGATGTATACTCCACTAATTGCTGGATATTTTTGATAGAAGCTTTTTTCAAGGGTTTGGAATGCGAGTTTTGTTGCTTTTATCGAAGCTTTCAAGGATGGGGCGAGTGAACGTGTCACATGTCAAGACAAGAAAAGGGTCATTTGAGCATCACGAGGTTATAAATACTCTCCTGATAAGGTCTCGAGGACAAAGAGTAAAAAGAGTAAAAGACAAGTTGAGAAGACAAATTGTCGGTCGGATGAGTCGACGTAATGCAGAAGGAATTCAGACGGGCCTAACCACATTGGGAAATGAGAGCGTATTTACCTCCGTCATTTCTTCACGGTGCAGGACAACCGCGTCTTTCTCCCTTTTACACTATTTTGCCTACATGTGAACCTCTGCAGGCTGCAAGGGGTATTTCGGCCATGTCATTTGATAAAAACAATCGACTCTCGCGAGACAGACAACGGTCACCTTTCCGACGCGCCTCGAAATTCGACCATTACGATATACCTACGAAGCTCCCATCACCCCCTCAGGAAGATGGTCCGCATCCACGACACGCTATTCGCCCAAGATCTCTAGCCGATGCATATCGAGACGCATCAAAACACGCAATGTCCGCCACATACGACGACGAATACCATTACGTGACATCACCAAGCCCGCGATCGAAGCGGCAACCAGTTAACGCGTTCTCGCCAGTTTCTCAGACTTCTCCCCCCCTAAAGAACTCGCGGATGCATATAGGCGGATTGACGAAGATGACGCTCTAGCCGATCTTGTGCGCGACTATGACTGGGAGCCGCAGTACAGTGCACGCTCCGGAAGCCGAAGTCGCCCCTCGTCCTCCCGATCGAAGGACACAAATAACGGTAGAGGATCTACCAATGGCCCACCCTTCTCCGACGCTGGTTTTGGCGATGAACTCGGCAACCTTCGAGCCCACAAGAGCAGGGACTATACCAAAGATGAAGAACGCCTAAAACGCGTCACGGGCCAACGCTCGCCGGTCTTCAGCAGGGCTCAGGTCGGACGAGATGTCTTGACGGCAGATAATTTGAGAAGACGAATGGAAGATAAGATTGAGGTGGATCACGACGTGCCAGAGGCTGACAGGAACGGTGTTCCTTCGCCGAATATACCCGCTGGCTGGGGCCATCGCGCAGGTCACCGACAAGAATGGGAGAGAAAGCCTACCCAGCGTAGTGTTTCTGAAGAAGAAGTGGAAAAAGCACGTCGACGCTGGTCGCCAACTATCACGGAAGCAACCCAAGCGCCCAATTCTACGCGTATCTCTCGTTCTCCGGCGCGGAGCACACTTTCGGCTAGAAGCGCTCTTGAAGAACGTACCGCCAATCCGCATATGCAGGCAACGCAGAAGGACTTTGGGGAAACTCAGTCTGGTCTAAAGCTGACCTCACCCACTAGTGGCGGCGAAGCAATCCCCAATTCCCCAATCACTGTGTACAAAAACTCGTCAGTCGCGAGGCCTAGCCCCAACAAGCGCGACTCCCGGGATCTACTACGAAAACTTTCTAGAACTGAAACTCCAAAAATTGATCATGTCCAAACTCCCGAGCCACTCAAATTTTTTCAAAGCAAAATCTATGACAAGACCCCTCGGGTAACTGGCGCGTGGATCGATACTCCCATGACACAGCGTGTGGCTGAGAAGATCGAGCTTCCCGAAGATCTGACGAAAGATATCATTCCTCCACGCATAACGAATGAGCCCAAAGATATTGCACCTCCTACAAAACCAACAGATGTCAAATCGAAAGCCGAGGAATCAAAGCCCTCTCAGACTACAGAGAAAGAGCCCCCTCCTGAAGCACTTCCTGGGAAGGAGTCAAGGCCCCCGTTGGTGCGACCTCATCTACCTAAAAGTGCCTTGGAGACGGTCATCGAGGATGCCAGCTCCGGCAAAGACGTCGAGTTCGGGGATGATACCATCGAGTCCCTTCAAGCATTTATGGACGCCGGGTCAGGTGAAGACAAAATCGTGGAAGACGACGAAGCTTACGAAAAGGCCGTCCTCGCTCAGCTCGAAAATGCCAGTTCAAAAGACAATAATGACGTGGTCAACTTGGATTCATTGAATGTCAAGCTCAACTCTCTAATGAGACATATCGACGAAGTCAAGAAAGGGCTCGACGGCCTAGAAGACCATGTTACACGAGACACCGAAATTGTATCGCAGGTGAGCCCTTCAACCAAGAAGAGCCCGCAACCATCGCACTTGCACACAGGGGAAACCTGCAAAGGCTGTAGCACGCACTCTGATGGACGAGTCTACGCCGCGATACCTCTTCCTCGGCTGTGGAACCGGAGCCCGCGATCACAACGCCTTCGGCCCACCAAGCTCGGCTGGTTCATCATCATCTCACTATCGTGGTATATCATCGAATGCCTGATGTGGGACCAATATAGTCATCCCGAGATATCCGAAAGCTGCGAAGGCTACTGCCTGCAGCCTGATGCGCCTTTGTATCCCTGGGTAACTGTCACAATGTTGTGGCGCTGGTCACATCTGTCGACTATTTTTACGCCCATTTTCGCTATCTGTACTGCTTTCTCTCGGCTCGTGGCGCAGTTGATGGGTCTTTCGGATGGCTACGTGGATGATGCGCCAGAGCTTGGAAATATCATTGGCGAAATTCGCATCAACGGAACGCCAGTTGCTTTCCCGTGGCTTTCAGCCCCCACAGCTGAGGACGTTGTGTCTCAACCGCAGCAGGTTCACTATACACAGCAGCCCGTGCAACCAGTGCAGCCTGTCTGGTCAGCTCGGAACCTACCCCCGCAGAGGTTGGACAATGACCAACTGTCGGGGGAGGATGCAATGGACAACGATGAATACCTTTAGTACCCGAAGTTGTTCTTTAATTTCCCACGACGTTTACTTTCTTTGGCGTTTCGCTCTGAACCGGGTGAATAGATTTTCGGTGGCTCACAGTAGTCCATTTTGGTCGTGGTTCTAATTCGGCATGGTTTGAGCTACTATCTAATGCAATCCCGGGTAGCGATTCATTGCTGCAGAGACCTGTTCTCTAAGAAAGTAATCAAGTATCCGAAGTCTTTTAAGTAGCCATATAAATGGCCAATTAGTATAGGGTAGGGGACTTGGCCCTATCGGGCCCCCATCTATAACAGAAACAGTTTATCAGCAGTATCATTAAAAATACAAATAGGGTATTATAATGCGAAATGAGGAGAAAAACCCATATAAAACAAGTCACAACCGCGCTGTCGGACGCCATTGCTTCTGTAGTTCAATCTCTCCCTCTAGCTTCCAAGCAGTCATTCTCTGCATGAGAGCTGCAACCTGCTCATCACTGACTTCACAGGCCTTTTCAATCGGGATCTCCTTTGTCAGCTGGAGCTTGAAGCCCAACCAGGTGAGGTTCCCGGTCGACATGACCCGGCCGGCAACAGCATCACGACAGAACCCAGCAAAGCCCTCAAATAAACGATGGCTAGTTGGTCTGTTCATCATAAGTAAACCGTGACAGTGTGGCATACCCTCAAACATCTCCGCAACGAGAGGCACACCGGCCTGGTAAACGCGGCGCGCTACAATGAGACCCTCGTCCGTGAGGCCTTCCTCGCCAGTCGAGATCCATATAGGCGGTGCACCCTTCCAGAGAACAGCCGGGGCAGAGAGCGGAGACACCAATGGGTGGCTCAGCATGCTGGCGTTGCAGTAGAAGTCAGCGCGGGGCGGGGCCGTGGGCCAGATATCGTCTGGCGCGAAAGGGGGCGGGGTAAATGCAGTCTTGACAGCTGGGTCATCGGAGGGCACAGTCGGTGCGTCGAGATAATCGAGGTGTGCATTGCCGCTGGTAGATGGCATGGAACGCGTCACGTCGCACCATGGGGAAATGGTTGCGACGCCTGCTGGTAGTTCTATGGGCACATCTTCGCCGTGGAAGCGGATTGTGCGGGATGCGCGGTCGAGGGTTAGAAGTGTTTGAAGGAGGACTAGGGAGAGATTCCCGCCTGCGGAATCGCCAGCGAATATGATCTTGTCGGCTGGCACGGGTTTGTGGAGGGAGCCTGGTGGAGGGTGGAGGAGTGAGAGGTATGCTGTTAAGGCGTCGACAAGCGCGGCTGGGAATGGGTTCTGAGGAGCGAGACGATATCGGACGGAGAAGACGGGGGCGCCGGTCAAGTGGGATAGGTGTGCGACGGGGACGCGGTGGCTGCAGGGATCTAAAAGGCTTTTTTTCATTTTGATGCGTTAGCTATTTGCGCGGTTGTTAATGGATCGAGTGACACTCACAAATAGGCTCCTCCGTGGAAATATAAGATCGTCATATCAGACGGTGATTCCTCGCGCAGCTTGCTGTATTTCTCCTCTTCTGAGAGATCGGGCTCTGGTGTTTTCTTTCCGACTCCCGCGCGGTAACCGGTCCATTCGGCTTCGACGGCGATAGTTGTGGGGATATCGTAAGTCCCATCGCCGGTCTTGAGATCTTCGATTGCATGTAGTATTGCATCGCGCACGTCGATCTCGGGCTGCGGGAGGGTAACCTTAGACACCCACATGGGGCCCTTGACTCCAGGGTCGCGTATGCCTTGTTTCTGGACTTTTCCGAGTGGAGCTTTTGTTTTTATGAATGAGCGAATAATGGCGACGGTTAATTCGGTGCGCATGTCCTGTTTCCCCTTGACGGGGGACATTTGAACGCCATGCAGGAGGATGGTCTTCAGGATCAGCGGGATGCGGACCAACAGCGCTTTTACGAGGCCAAGAGGTTCCCTAAGCGAGCTCATGGTGCAAAGGGAGCAACTCTGAGCACTCGCTCCTGCGAAAGAAAGAAAATTGAGGTGAGAAGAAGAGGATCTAAAGATCTTAACCTTAGATGTCAAACCGGTTTTCGTGCCTGAGTGGCGTCAGTGCCGAGGTCCGGACGTGGAGCATTGTACCCCACCAGCCCTAAATCTGAGATGTCTCACATTGATCTGATTAGTACCATTATTATTGTGTATCATGACGGTTGTCCTGGAATTAAGTTGAGCTGGTTTATTAGTAGACTGTCGTCAGGATATGCCAGACATTATAGACTACCTAGTCTTGAAATAGTTTGATATTGCAGCATGGGCTGCGAACAAGCTTATAGCAATCACGATCCTTGCCATCGAAGGTGAATGGGCATACAATACTGTCTTTTCCACTTATGAGAGGCACATACTTACGAAGGCTATGGTTAAAAACGGCGTCAACGATGGCCGTTTCTGGCTTGCTATATATGCCGAGCCGTAGGGTATATTTAGCTCCAGAAAAGAAAACATAGCCCCCCTGGGCCATTTTCCAATCATGTCAGACATGAACACCCAGTGACCTGAGCAGTGATATTCCCCCAAGATACCATAGCGTATATTAACGTTGATATAAATTCCCGGGGCCAAGTCCAATCGGCTGCCCTGATCCGGCGAGTGAGATGACTAAGCTAAAGCCTCAGGCCAAAATCCTCATCTCTAGGTCTAGAACTGCCCTGGTTTGTTTCAGGCTCTTTTGTTTTTGATGTCTTCACTCTGCACGCCTAAAGGCGACACTTCTCTGTCTGTCCACTGTAAATTTTACTGAGCATAATCTATCTTGTGGATGCTTGCATCTTTGCATCTTGCATGTCCGCTTTCCCCATCGTCCCATCCTCATCACCCCCCCACTACTCAATTTGACCGATCGCCCCGGGACGTGTTCATGGTAGTAAGTCGGGCGGAGACAACTCAATAACTTGAGACATGGAGGAGAGTACTCTTTTTAGCGACGACTTGCCGCTCCCACCAGTCCGACTTTTCGAACGATTGGGGCAGTTGCCTGGATATACCTGGGACCAGGCGATCGAACCGTTTCACTCGACATACAATCACTGGCATATCTCAGGATACCGCCATGCCTTAGAACCGGATGTTTTAACTCCTCTCGCAAATTCCTCCAATCCCGCCTCCTCCGGACCGTCGAGCCTCACGCGCTTTTCCCCGCGCACAGAAATCCGCCCATCCGCCCGTGCCTTGCGAAGATTGAGCGCAAGCGAAACCAGTAGTGAGATTTCACTTTCCAACCACCATAGCCTAGAAACAGATCAAACATGGATACCGGTCATCGCGCGAATCTCAACCAACATTATCCGGCTCGAACGAGAGTTTCACATGCTCAGGTCAATTGTACAATCGTCAGATCCGGATTGCAATCATACAATACGACCAGTTGACTTGATCAGGTTACAGCCAGATGATGGTCACTCGAAGACACTGCTGGTTGCGATTTTTGAGTCTCCGGGCCATGACAGATTGCGAGATCTAGTCACATTTGGTCCTGCCTCATTTGCGGCAGGGTCCAGAGGTGAGGATAACAATGCTACACCCAGTGAGCAGGTCTCACTACAAGCCTTTTTCGATTTTGCAATCGGAGCATGCGATTGCCTGGAGATTTTACACTATGGCCTAAAGACAGTACATGGCGAAATCCGAGGTGATGCGTTCCATTTTTGTGCAGAGACCGGTGCAGTGAAACTCGCAAACACTGGCAACGGCGCCAGATCATTTGATAACGTTCTCAGCGAGGGCTGGTCCTCTGTTTCGCGCGAGCTTGGAGCAAAGTACAAGCTGCAATTCATTGCCCCAGAGCAGACTGGAAGGATGCCCACAGAGCCGGATAGTCGCACTGATATTTATGCGCTGGGCCTCTTCTTCTGGTCCATGCTGGTGGGGAAACTCCCATTTGAAGGAACCGACCCCGTTGATGTGGTACAAAATGTACTAGGCAAGAGATTGGTGCCAGTATCTGGGAAACGAATGGATATTCCAGATGCACTCTCGGCCGTCATCCAAAAAATGACCCAAAAGATAGTCCATGATCGCTACCACACAATTTCATCTGTGAAGAGAGACTTGACCCAAATTGCGAAGTTGCTTGGTGATGGTGACAGTGAAGCATTGAGCAATTTCCAAGTTGCGCAAGGAGACGTGTCTTCCTTTTTCACTCTCCCAACGAAGATGTTCGGCCGGCAACAAGAATATGACAAGATCCTCCATATCATCGAAAAGGTCAATAAGCGCCAAGCGGCTGCCATGGCCAAAGCCGGAACCCAAAGTCCCGGCACAATGCACGCTCTCACATCGGCTTCGTCCATCTCTGAAAGCCGTATTGAAAGCCTGGAGTTTGCTTCTGTCTCTAGCGATTCTGGCTCCTTTCACCTGCCTCCTCGATCGTCTTCCAATGTCACCAGTCATCATCTCGCCCAGGTAAACACCCATGAATCTGCGCCGGGTAGTGATACGTCGTTTTCCACTCCGAAGCATACAATTGTCCCCGATGTGTATGGTCAAAGCCCAGGAGCACCTTCCAGCAGAGTTAAGAGTCCATCGCATTCTCGGTCTTCTCATAATACAGACCGCGATAGTCACCCCTCTATCGGTCCTCCCAGTCAACCATCAACAAACCACACTGTTAGCCAGTCGGGATCCCTCCATTCATTGAATAAGCCAAAGAATAATGGGAAGTCTCGTCGCAGCGAGCGCTGTGAAGTGATCACAATCAGCGGTCCCGCCGGGATTGGAAAAACAGACCTCTTAAATCGGATACAGCCAACAGTTCGCAAACTTGGATGCATAGCAATTACTCGTCTGGACCGAGCCAAACGTGTCCCATTTGAACCATTTGCAAAACTATTGGCCAGTCTGTTACGCCAAATTTTCTCCGAGCGCGATGTCACCACAGATTACCACAATAATGTCAGAATGGCTTTGCGACCCATGTGGCCTACTCTACACAGAGTTTTGGATCTTCCCGAGCAGTTGATGTCCCCTGGCGCGAAATACAGACCGACTGAAGCAAAGGCCAATCTTCTCATGCCGGATAAGGGTGAGCCATCAAAGCACGTCAAAATCCCCGGGCTGGATCAAGGGCAGACTTCCCAAGACTTCTTTTTGGCAAATGCTGCCTCGAAGAACATGCGGCTTATGGAGACATTCCTCGAGATATTGCGAACGTTGTGTCATTTCAAATTGATCACTATATGTCTTGATGATCTCGAACACGCAGATGACGAAACTTTGGACTTGGTAATGAAAATCATCAAAGCAAAGCTCCCCTGTGTCCTCATACTGTCAAGCCGCAAGGAGGAGATTCCATCTGACCAGGTGAGATCTCTATTTGCGCAGGATCTACCAACGATCACGCGAATCGCACTCGAGCCCCTTGAAGAGGAGCATGTCATGGAGATTGTAGCGACGACAATGCACCAGAAACCCGATCGAACATTGACACCACTCTGTGCGGTTGTTCAGGAGAAGAGCCGAGGAAACCCCTTCTACGTTCGGGTAATGCTTGACACTTGTTACAGAACGAACTGCATTTGGTATTCATGGAAGGACTCAAAGTGGTTATTCGACCTTGATCGGATATTTACGGAGTTTGTGGCTCCTGTCTACGGCGAAGGGCTTGGACTTGGGTTTCTTACCAAGCGTCTTCAGGACATCCCTCAAGCCGCCCGATCAATCATGGTCTGGGGATCTCTTTTGGGCAGCCCCTTCTCGTTTTCTCTGGTGCAAAAGCTCTTGACAAGTGAATTTCTTTATTCGAGCAATGACGATGACGACGTTGATCTCACATCACCGCAAAATGTCACACTTATCAGGCAATCAGAGGGTGATATAGTTGTTGGATTGCAGTTTTTGGTCCAAGCGAACCTTTTGAACACGGGAAAGACCGACGATGAGTTTAGGTGAGGCATCTACTGTTGGTTACTGCTATAGCCAAAACTCTTACTAATTTCCCTAGGTTCGGCAATGAACGACTTGCACAAGCTGCTCTTTCTTTGAGTGAGGGACGAAATGTAGAAAATATGCATTTCATCGTTTCACAAGTGTTAATGAAATATTACCACGACCATCGCAGTCGCTATTCAATGGCTCATCATGTGGCACTTGCGTCACAGACTATCAAGTCTCGTGTGGCCAGACGGCTCGAATATCGACGGATCTTATGGGATGCCGGACAAACTGCTTTCCAGTCGGGCGCGCGGCCGTCTGCACTTTGGTACTTCCGTCATTGCATCGCTTTACTTCAGGATGATATGTGGAATGACCTCAAACCGGATGTTTATTACGATGAAACCATGCGGCTATTTATCACGACCTCTGAGATGTCGTGGTCCCAGGGTCACAATGACGATGCCCTCCAGTTGATCAACGAGGTGTTTGTTCATGGCAAGGACGCCGTAAGCAAGTCGAGAGCCTGGATCATTAAAGCCAAAATCTTTGCTCAGATAGGCGATCATCATCGCTCGATGGAATCGCTTCTCACTTGCCTCGATGAGCTTGGAGTCCATCTTCGTCAACCTACAACTTACGAGGAGTGCGATGCTGCCTATCTGCGCCTCAAGTCCTATCTCGAAACTGCCGACATGAGCTCTATTGGCCGAAAGCCAGTCTCCAAGGACCCCACTATAGTGACTATCGGCGCAGTCATGGCGGAAGCGATGACAGTCACGTATTGGGATGATGCATTGACTTTCTATCGGATGGCGCTTGAAGTGATGAACATTCATATCTTCAAGGGTGGATTCACACAGATCGCGATAGGTTGCTCCCATCTTGCCATGATTTCCTTGGGTCGCTTCAAAGATACCGAGTTTGGCACGAGACTTAGCGATCTTTCGCTGGAACTACTCAGCTCTGCCCTGAGTTATCGACTCAGAGCAGAGGCTCGATCGTTCACAATCTCTACGTCAGCCATTTACGTGTTCCTATGGCGTCAACACTACCTGCCTTGGAAGCTTCGCTCGAGGCTTCTTTCTCAATGGGTGACCCATATCTCACCCTGATTAGCATCTCATCAATGGCCATGACTCGATTGTATCTGGGCCAAGACATGGCGCAGCTGGAAACTTTCTGCTTGGAGACCCCCGAGGAAATTCCCAAATGGAAACAAGATACCCGCGGTGGGGCTAGTCTTATTGCAGTTCAGCAAGTTTCACGCGCTCTGCAAGGCAAGACAGAATCCCGCTCTGCCGACGGCATCATGTCAGATGCCAATCACAACACATCCGAGTATATGATGCACTTGGATATTAACTCTACCAATGCTGATAGACCCCGTGACATCTACTGGGGTCTTGCCATGATCCCCCTGTTTCTGTTCGGTCACCACACCAGAACGATTCAAGTGGGTACTCAACTTTTGTTCACCAGGCACAGGCTTTGGTCAGCACGCGTGTCCTACGTGATTTATTTCTATCTGGCAGCCTCACTCCTCACACTTCATAATGACAATCCCTCCCAAGGATATCTCGACGGCAAGATGGACACACTGTTGGAATACAAGGCCGAGATCGATTTTGCTCGAGATGCATCAGAAGTAAATTATGGCATGTGGGCTCTAATTTTAGAAGCCCTGATCTCCGAGGTTCGCAACGATCATAGCGGTGCCATCCAGAGTTTCGAGTCTGCGATCGACCATTGTCAAATCCATGGTTGGCCCCTTGAAGAAGCCTTGGCCCTCGAGCTGCAGGGCGAGTTTTTGGTCAGACGTGGAGCAAAGAGGGCCGCTCGTGCTGTAATCCAAGATGCTATCGCTTCCTGGAGCGCTATTGGCGCCGGTGGCAAATCGTCGCAGCTTGCTGAGAAGCATGAATGGTTACTCAAGACGGCCACCTCAGCAAAAACCGTCGATGTTGGCTGCCAGACTATTGATTCTCTTCTTGAGATCAGCCGTGATGTTGTGCAAGAAGAGATTCTGGTCCCCCAGCAGATGGAAGAGGATGAGAGAAGACAACAGTGGATTGAGCAAAACGGTGTTGCTGCTGGAGAACGGTCTCTAGACATATCAAGTGTCGGGCTAGACATTATTGACTTGTCCAGCATTCTCGAGTCCAGCCAAGTCATGTCGTCCGAGCTTCAAATTGACAAGCTTTTCATGAAAATGCTTGAGATCATCTTGGAGTCTTGCAACGGTTCCGATTTTGCCATCATTGCTACAGACTTTGATGACAACAACGGCTTTGCAATTGCCGCAGCAGGTGATTCGGAAAAGGGCCAGAAATCATTCCCAGAAGGTCTCCCTTTCTCGGAAATGGAGGATCGAATGGCCTTGCATATCTCGGATTATGTCATGCGCACAAAGGAAGAAGTTCTTGTTCACAACGTTCTCGAGGATGAACGGTTTTCCAACGTGAGCGAGACGTACCTGGCAAATTACCCCACGGGTCGGTCTGTTATCGCATTGCCAGTCGTACAAGGAGATCGCCTTCTCGGCGTCATCCATCTGGAAGGAAAACCAAATTGGTTCACTCAACGCAATGTTGTGGTCCTGCATCTGCTTTGCAACCAGATTGGTATTTCGTTGTCCAACGCGTTGCTCTTCCGTGAAATTCGCAAGGTCAGCGCCAAGAATGCCTCTATGATTGAGTCCCAAAAGCGTGCATTGGCCTTGGCACGCGAGGCCGAACAGAAGGCAAAGAATGCGGAGGCCGAAGCCAAGCACAATGTGAAACTAAAGGAAGACGCAGCAAGGGCCAAATCAATTTTCCTCGCCAATATCTCTCACGATCTGCGTACTCCGATGAATGGCGTGATTGGTTTATCGGAACTCCTCAAGGGAACTTTCCTTGACAAGGAGCAAGATGAATACGTTGAATCGATTCGTGTGTGTGCTGATACCTTGCTCACCCTCATCAACGACATTCTCGATTTCTCGAAGCTCGAGGCCGGAAAAATGAAGATCTCCACGGTCCCACTCAATCTAAAACAGACCATATCGGAGGTCATCCGGGCTTTGCGGTACACACATCGTGACAGAGGCCTAGAGACTATCGAGAACCTCGATAAGGTACCACCAGAGCTCGTTGTTCTTGGCGATCCTGTTCGTCTCCATCAGATTTTCATGAATCTCCTCAGCAACAGTTACAAGTTCACTCCTGCTGGATCAGTTACGGTCAAAGCGAGGGTTGCACGTGAGGGCAAAGGCCGGGTTCGCCTTGAATGTTCGGTCGCCGACACCGGCATCGGTATTCCAGATGAACAAAAAGCTCGCCTTTTCAGACCATTCTCACAGGCTGATGCATCCACAGAAAGATCATATGGCGGAAGTGGACTTGGCCTGTCAATTTGTAAAGCTATCATTGAAGATGTTCTCGGTGGAGCTATCTGGCTTGAATCGAAATCTGGAGTTGGAACGACCGTGACATTCCACTTGGTCTTTAGCAAAGCACCCAAGAAGACGGCAGTCAAGACTGCATGGTCACAAGATCTGAGCAATGCAGAAAACGAAGTCCGTCGGTCCTCAGCTCGCGACCTCACCCAAATCCCTCGTGATCAGATCCGAGTCTGCATTGCCGAAGACAACCCAATCAATCAAAAGATCGCCGTCAAATTCGTCACTGGCCTTGGCCTCCAATGTAACGCATACAGCGATGGCAAACAAGCTGTCGATGCTCTACGTGCAAGCTCTCAAGAAGGCAACCCATTCCACGTGGTCCTCATGGACGTGATGATGCCCACTCTTGACGGATATAACGCGACCCGTGAGCTGCGACGGGATCCCGACCCGAATGTAAACGAAGTGCTCGTCATCGCCATGACCGCAAGTGCCATCGAAGGTGATCGCGAGAAATGCCTCGAGGCTGGCATGAACAATTACCTCCCGAAACCGGTCCGCTCGCCCATTTTGAGCGAATTATTGGACCGATATCTCGCTCCTGCGCCGCCATCCTACCCCAAGTCTCGCCTTGCTATCCGAGAAAAGCGCTCGAAAGCAAGTATAGATGGTGGTGCCGGAACACCTACCAGTTACTCTTCTTCGGCTTCAGATGAACCGAAAGTATTGTCACTGGAAAAGAAATGAGTCCATGCAATTTTAATTTATACCCGAGTTTGCAAAGATAGAAGTTAGGCGTCATTGGGGTCGATGAGTTTACCTCTATTTAGCTTTTTTTTTTCTGATTTCCCCCCCCCCCCCCCCCCCCCCCCCATCTCGTCATTCACTGCCTAGGTAGTTGTCTAGTGTTTCTTTTGGGCTGATTCTATGAGAATCGTGCATCTGATTTTTTTTTTTTTTTCTCTAGAACCATGGTGTTTCCCGCTCATAATCATGATCAATAACATACTTTTCCTTGGATATCCTCGCAGAGATGTTGTGAATTGGACATTTGAACATAATGCATTATTTACGTCTAGAATATCAGCTATATACATAATTCTCATTCTCATGATATTAGACAAAAGCCTAAGCGCGACGACCAAAGATGCGGAATCGCTTGACACCACCATCAGGAACAAGGGTCAGCTTGACATGGCTGAACACCCGAGTATCTTCACCACCAGCAGTGAGATCATCCGGCCCAAAGACATGCTCGGTATCTGCCTGGCAGCGTTTGTCACCCTTGACGATCTCAACCCAGTTGGCGTCATCGGCGGAGGGCACACCGTCACCAACAGCGCCAGCAACCAAGCCGTGCACGCGCACAGCACGAGGGAAGTTTCCACGGAAGTCCTTGGTGTCAACAACAACCTTGGAGACCGAGCCAGGAAGACCCAGCTTAACAATAGCCCAGTCAACGTGGCCAGCAGCGCGCGAGCGAGCAGTTTCCCATCCATCACCCATATCCTTTCCACGACCAGGAAGTAGGATGTTAGACGAGGGGGTGAAGTGTTCATCGGAGGCAGCAAGAGCCACACCTCCATTGAGAGCAGACGAGAGCTCTTCAATGGGTGCCGAAGCAGCCTGTATGGCCGGGGCAGGAGGGGGGATAGCGTGACCGTAAAGACGGAGACGGGCGAAGCCACCGTCGGGGTACATCAGCAAACGGAAGTGAGTGTAAGGAGTTTGGCTGATCTCGGTGTCGAACTTCCACCCGTGGCGCTGAGAGGGACCACAAGGCGAAGCGGGGAGAAGAGTCTTCCAGCCGGCGAAGCTGGGGTCTGCAATTTGGGCATCCGTGACACCACTACCTTCTGGTGCGTGTGTAGCTTGTAGCTCTGCCTTCTCGCCGTAGTTGCCGATGAAGTGTGCGGTGTCTACTTCGACGCCGTGGATGTAGGCTGCGGCGACGCCGAGCTTAATCACGGCCCAGTCGTAGGGATCGGGGTTGTGGCGACGGGTTTCCCAGCCATCGTACCAGGCACCGGTGTGGACGAAGACGCCGGGGCGTGAGATGGAGGGAGTGGGGGTTAGGAGGTTATCGGCTGAAGCGAAGTAGTCGTTTGAGCAGGCTAGGATCTTGCTGTTTAGGTTGCACGAGGCTAGGTTGGTGGTGTGTGCGAACACCTGGTCGATATCGGTAGCAGCGACTTGCATTTTGGATTGATTTGTATGAATTATATGTTTAATGAGTTCAAAAGAAAAGTCGAAGAGAGTGTAGGCGTGACTGTATACTTAAATAGCAGAGTGGGGGGGTTATCGATAAGGGACTTGCGCCTCGAAACGCATTTCCATTACTCCCCGACGTCGACAATCCCCATTCCTCTTCTATCCTCTTCTCGTCGGAGCCAATCAGAGCCTATCTTTCCCGGTATTCCGTTGAAGGTTTCACCCGTAACCGCTAAGTCTAGATCCAATGCCGGTTTGAGGTCCTTCGGAGTTGGTTTCGGAGTTGAATTGTTGACCCACTACCTGGCGAGCCATATCGGAGGTCTCCGATGAGCGCCGTTATCCGAATGGCAGTCTCTCATTGACCAGAAATGAAAGTCACAAACTCCACAGAAAGCAAAGGAATCCAAAACGTTCAATTTGCGCCTATTGCGCCCACTGTGGCGGCAGTAATATCTTTCCTGCACAATACACAGAGAGCCCGGAGTTCATCGGAATTCACAAATTCGACCAATAAGACTCACAATTGGTTCTGACGCTCTCAAGACCACTATCCCAATAGCCGCTCTGCTTGAGTTATTTCCCATTACATGGTATATCATCCATACAGTGCAGTATATTCAATCACCAGACAGGAGTGAGGTAAAATGAAATGGAATCAAGTCAAGCAGGGTATCTACCATTGCCGGTACACAGGGTTATACAATGGCGCAGTGATTTGTGAACGTATTGCTGATTCCCGTATATCCCGAACGTCTTTCACCAAATGGGACACCCGAGTCCTTCGTATGAGTGCACACGAGGTTTCGTTACTGTTGCAATGTTGACCAACCTGCTTGTGCGACACTCAACGAATTCTCCCTCGAGTCAGAATTTCAGGACCGGGACCAGGCAATCAATTTTATTGTCCTCACACATAGCCCTCAAGCGGGCAAGAGGCATCAACTGCTCTAGAACATAAAACATTAGAAACGAGGACCCCTGAGGTCATCCCCAGACTACCAGAGCAGATATCAGTGTGAAGAAATCGACATAGTATTTCAGCATGAGCACATCAAACTAAACTGTGAAGCTTCTAAACAAACGCCAGCAATGCCTTCGTATCATTTAATATGGTGGGTGCAAATAGCAAGAAGGAATAAAAAAATAAAAAATAAATAAAAAATAAAGAACAAAGAAGGACTTTTGTCGCTATCCCTTTCCAGTGGTCTTGGTTGCAGCATTCTCCAGAGCCGTGTACCTCCATGCATACTGTGCCATTGCTCTCTTATCACTTTCAGAGCGACCCTCGTTCTTGCCAGCCAAATCCTTCGTGCCTTGCATTTGTATTTCCCATCCCTTGAGGATTCGAGCCTGGGCTTCCGCGATCGAAGTCAGGTTTGAATTCTGTGAGGCCATTCGTTCATCAATCGTGGCATGATACGATAGTTTGGCGCGGAAGAGGGCCATCTCGCATTCGTCGTACTTGATTCCTTTTGCCTCGGGCACCATGTTGTCTTGTGTACTCTTCGGGGGCATCTCGGACTGGACCATAAGAGAGGGGGGTTGGTTGTCGATGCAGGCAATGAACTAATTTTATAACCGTGTTCTGGCAATGGGTTTTGTCGGGAGTTTGAAAGAAGTGAAAATAATATGCAGGGTATTATGTTCAAACACCGAAGTATGTATATCTGTTCAAATATGAACCAAATGATTCATGAGAATGTCACGCCTAGAACACTCCTGAAGCAAACATAGAAATATAGTGGCGAAACAAAAGGGTTCCAAATTAATGACGAGAAAAAGAAAAGGCTATAGGGGGAAAAGGGTAAGAGAAAACTTGATCAATTATATCATGGCGAGATCATGCTCATCGTCATTGTCCAAAGGAAACATCGCCCTTCCAGTACCCGACATGCCGGATGTATCACCCCTCAACACTGCAGCGCAGAAAAGGGGGAGGCATGGCCACAATCAAACCATCCCGGAAAGAGAAGGAGATCAAAAGACACATGCAACATACACGTAAGAGAATTTCACCCAACCCAACACTTTCTTCTCAAAAAGAACGGTACTCGAAGTAGAGACCTGCGCATCCCGTGTTGAGCGGCGATGACCCGTTTGCTTTTTGGCGACAGTACCATCTGTCTCGTGATGAGAAGCCGAGCCAATCGATCTAAGTTGCCGCCTTGTCTGGCACTTTTAGTGCAAAAGCTATGGTAACACCATGTTTGAATCGCCAGACCGCGCAACTGGACGTGCATGACTCTGGGAATTTTGCTGGGAGGATCGAGCATTAATCGGCAGATGCAGTCCCGTCTCGGTCCGTATGGCCGTGCGCACATCTCTATGTATCAGGGTCTGTAGATTAGAAGACATCTGTATGTTGTGTGGTTGTACTGTGGACATTTATATATCATTTTATAACTCAATTGCTATAGGACAGAGTTGGCTGTTTGCACCAAACAATCTGATCCGGGTCTCTTCAGCCGAGAGACAATCGAAAAGAACCTTAGCGGTTCTATATCGTTGCCACGAGGGTCAATCAGGTCAATTAGAGGCAAGCAACCGGATTACACGAAAATAGAGTTGATGTAGCCTGCCCGTCATTTCCACCTTGCCCGTCTCATTATGCTCTTCATGAAGATCTTAACATGGACTATTGTTTATTTTGCGAACTCTGGATAGCTGCAGGGAAGATGAGTAATATCCCTTGATGCCACTGGTATTCATGCAGTGTCTGGCCCAGACTATAAATAACTGGCAATTATACCGTTGACCTTTCTCTTCTCCCAGAGACATACATGTGTTCTCAGCATAAAAGGATAAAAAGAGCGAAGGGAAAAGACCCCATGAACCAGCTTAACTGTATACTTCAGCTACGTATTCTCTTTTTTGTCTCTTTTTGGCTTGCGTCACCATCCAAATCTTCCAAGAATAACCATATTAGGGCTGCAAAGCACACACCAGGTCATCTGTGATACTACAGACAGCAGCAAACCCGTTGACCGTTGGCCATTTATTTTGTTTTTATTTTGTTTTTTTCTTGACATAACACATGATACCAATTGAAAGCTCAAGCCATTAATCAGAATAGCCTCCCACCTAGAAAGAGGGAGCTAAAAAAGAAAAAGGAAAAGGAAAAGGATCGGAGTGCGCAAAGTCCTAACTCGGTACCTGATTTGTTTGTGCAACGCTGCAAGCCGAAATGTAGGGGACCTATGGGCCGTGATTGAATTCTGGGCTAGTGGCGATGAGTCTCGGAGAAAAAAAAAAAAAAAAGGATTCCATAAGGTATCCCAGCGGGAAATGGGCTAAAGTCTGGGCACTTTAGGGCTCGGGAAGATCATCTGATGTCACTCAATTGTAGATCCGAGCTTGGAGTTGAAGCTAATACTATCCTTTTGGGAAGTTGGTAGGGATACAAAATATTTCAGAACTCGTGTTTCTGATGTCCCTTATACGTTTGAGAAGATAGAGGGCGAAAATTGGGTAACAGAACAAGCACCCTTCCGACGGGTAGCCACAGGCTTATATCGGGTTCGACGCGTTTCAACTGTTCCACTTGTGTATTTGTCTTGATCTAAGTGTAATAGTAGAGGTTTGCATTACATTCATTGAGATGATCAGTGCTAAGGTTTGGATCAGCTCTGATGTCTAGAGCTTGGAGCTGAAACAAAGACGGGAAATATACATTGAATTATGTTCTCTGCTCCCTTTAATAAAAGCAGCTTCCCTTCTACTGAAAGTTTATCGATCATCACTGCCCTCCTCATCCCGGCCCGCCGCCGCTCTGGCTTTCTTGGCCTTCTCAATATCCAAAGACATCTTCACCGGGTGGACTCCTGGGGTCTCAAACACCGTGTTAATCTCCTCTAGAGACAAACGGCTAGTTTCTGGGAAGAATAACCACGACAAGCCGAGCTGAATCGAGTTGTACACGATGTACACGACCCAAATCTTATAACCCACCTTTTGGATACCGACGCCAATTCCGTAGGTCTGTGCAGCTCCGGCACCTCCCTGGATCAGACCGTAAAGACCCATTCCCTTGGCACGAAGTGGCAGAGAGAGAATTTCAATTGGATACAGGTTGTGCATGGTTGCAACAAATGTGGCTGAAAAGGTTTGGTAAAGGAAGATCCAGAGAATGGTGAGCGCCGCCGCCGCTGCAGTGCCATGAACAATGTATTGCCACGACGTGATTGTCGTAGCCGTTTGGAAAATAATCATGCTGATAAGACCCACAAAGATCATGGTTCGTCTGCGGAACCTATCGACTATGAGAGCGCCAACGGCTGTAAAGACGAAATATACTGCGGTGGTGCCAATGTTGACACCAAGTAGCTGCTTCTCGCCCTTCATTCCAAGTTGCTGTAATGAAGGAACCATCTAAAAAGGTATTAGTCACTGAATAAGATGTCCTTGGTCTAATCACTCACATAGTACGTGATAATACCACCTCCATTCCATTGCTGGAAGAGAGAGTACAAAAACAAAACCAGGAGACGGAAACGGGCCGTCTTGGTGAAGAAGACGCGATAGTCCCAGGCAGCCCTGTAGCCAGTCTGGTCATTCTCGAGAGATTCCTCAATCTGCCTCACCACAATATCGACAATGGGCTCATTGATGTCGGTGCTAGTAGTGTGGTACTTGGCGATGACTTCCTTGGCCTTTTGGCGATTGCCCCTCAAAACATAATAACGGGGCGACTCAGGAGTCAAAAGATATATTCCTAGGCAGACAAGAGTAGGGAATAGAGCCTCAAGAATGAGGGGAACACGCCAGGAGTTGTTGCCAGGCAACTCGGTAAGTCCAATCATGGCACCAAGCACACCAAGACTACCGACCTGGAAGCATGCGCCAAAAAAGCCGACCATAACACCACGAAGATGGACAGGCGAAATCTCGCCAATGTACTGAGAGCTCGACATGAGTGAGGTACCAAATCCCATGAAGAATCGACCGGCCATGAACATGGGAAGGTTCGTGGCGAGGCCTTGCATGAGAGATGCGAAGATGACAATGGCGTTGCCGGTGAAATTGATCCCACGACGACCGATCACGTCCGCCAAACCCATGAAGGGTGCTCCACAGACGATACCAATCTGCATCAGAGCATTGATCAAACCATATGTGCCACCACTGCTCCCGAAACCAAAGTAGTCGTGCCATGAATCCAAAGCATTGATGCCGCTGATGACACCCCAGTCGATTCCAAAGCCAGCTTGGTTACAACCATGGACCAACATGATGAGACCCAGGCGAAATCCGGTCCATGACCGTAGCGTCAGGGAATCCTCGGACAATTTCCATAGATCCTCTTCTGTCACCCGTGCCAGGACAATCTCCTCGATATGTTCCGGATCTACGCTCTTGCCCAGCTTGGCCTCCGCATAGGCTGCACCCGAGGCCATTGTTCCGGTTTGGCAGATTCGATTAAATGGAATTGAAAGAGTATAGAAATGATCGTCCCAAAAATATGGGGTCAAGAGCCCTCGAGCTGCAGTCAAGTTCGACCTAAAAGTGGGGATATACGGGGGTATTTCTGCTTCGGTGAATCGGTCTCCACGAAGCTAGGGGGAGCGACAAACTAACAGTCAGCATCCAGGCTGTTGCCGAACGACCTATTTCGCCACGGAGAAGACATGAGTTTGGAACTAGATTAGCTCGTGGCACGATATAACTACCAGAATGGATAGTGATTGGTGGGTAATAGGGGTCACGCTGAACATTTTGTACGTCAATTCCTGAATTGCCTTTCCTTGCCATGTGCCCTAGGGATTTCTCACCAGTAAGATACGACTACGGGGAGAAACTAGCGTCTAGTTGGTTGGAATATCGCTTAAATATTTCCCCAGTGTTGGTCTGGAGTGGCCGGATCTACCCTAGATCACAAGGAGGGGGATAATCTGGGGGAGACATTTAGCCTGGAATCCGGGGAACAACCGGAGAAAGAGTTAAGAGCTGGCGCTTACCAGCAGGATTATCCGGAATCCTTTGCTCTTGGCAAATCGGATCGGTTTTCAGATCACTCTACTAGCTCCTAGCTTGTATGATCTATCTGATTCAAAGGCTCTCAGCGTCTTCTGTTCAAATTTCGCGGCTGACGGACCGAACTGCCGCCTTGTTCGCCAGGGATAAGCCATATTGATACGTCAACCCAATACAGACCAGCAGGTCGGACTCATTGAAGGTTATTGAGCATGTCGGAATTATGGTACCAGCAACCTTCGGAGGACTGGAATTCAGCCCTGCCAGTCGGGAATGGGCGCTTAGGCGCCATGGTGTATGGACGCACCGATACTGAAATGCTACAGCTCAATGAGGATTCCGTGTGGTACGGAGGACCACAAGATCGCAACCCCCGAGACGCGCTCGAGTATCTACCGCGCCTGAGAGAGGCTATACGCGCGGAGAACCATGTCGAAGCTGAGAAGATCGCCAAGCTGGCGTTTTTCGCTAACCCGATCAGCCAGCGGAACTATGAGCCGCTAGGAAACCTATTCTTGGACTTGGGACATGATCCCAGGCAGGTAACAAGCTATCGGCGCTCGCTGGATCTCACAATTGCTACCTCGCATGTCAGCTATGAGTACCAGGGTGTTCGCTTCGAACGTGAAGTCCTGGCCACTTACCCGGATGATGTGCTTGCAATCAGATTGCGTTCCTCGAGCAAGGCTGAGTTTGTCGTTCGTCTAACCCGCATGAGTGACTTGGAATTTGAAACAAATGAGTGGCTTGACGATGTCAGTGCTACCAGCAACTCCATTACCATGCATATCACACCTGGGGGAAAGAATAGTAATCGAGCATGTTGCATCGTGTCAGTTCGTTGCGACAGTGCTGAGAGTACAGTTACCCAGATTGGAAATAATCTAGTAGTAAACTCCAGTGATACACTGCTGATCATTGCGGCGCAAACAACATTTCGACATGAAGACATTGATCAGCGAACCAAGCAAGATTCAGAGGATGCCTTGGCCCACTCTTTGGAGGACCTCCGCGCCCGTCATGTTGCGGATTACCAGTCTTTGTACGACCGAATGGAATTGCAACTTGGGCCAGACGCTCCCGAAATCCCAACCGACCAACGCCTAAAGACTTCTCGAGACTCAGGGCTCATCGCACTCTACCACAACTACAATCGTTATCTCCTGATATCATGTAGTCGGGATGGACACAAATCACTTCCTGCAAACCTCCAGGGTATCTGGAACCCATCCTTCCATCCGGCATGGGGCTCCAGGTTCACCACCAATGTGAATCTTCAAATGAACTACTGGTCTGCAAATGTGTGTAACCTGTCAGAATGTGAAATTCCTTTGTTTGATTTACTGGAACGCATGGTTGAACCCGGAAAAGCCACAGCTAGGATCATGTACAGATGTCGGGGATGGACAGCCCATTCCAACACTGATATTTGGGCCGATACAGCCCCTGTTGATCGATGGATGCCGGCAAGCATCTGGCCTCTGGGTGGTGCATGGCTCTGCTACCACATTTGGGATCATTTCCAATATACTTGCGATGAAGGATTCCTTCGTCGGATGTTCCCCACCCTGCGTGGGTGCGTGGAGTTTCTCCTTGACTTCCTAGTCGAGGATGCCAATGGTGAATACCTTGTCACCAGTCCGTCTGCTTCTCCAGAGAACTCGTTCTACAACCACAAGGGTCAAAAGGGCGTATTGTGTGAAGGATCGACGATCGACATCCAAATCATAGATGCTATTTTGGGCGTCTTTCAGTCCTGTGTAAAGAGACTTGGTCTCGATGATGCCCTTCTTCCAGCAGTTCAAGCTACAAAATCCCGCCTCCCGCCGATGCAGATCTCCCCTTCTGGGTATCTACAGGAATGGGCTACCGATTACGCTGAGGTCGAGCCTGGACACCGTCACACGTCCCATCTGTGGGCCCTACACCCTGGAAATGCAATCACGGTTTCACAAACCCCCAAGCTGGCAGAAGCGTGCGGAGTAGTTCTACGTCGACGCGCAGAGCATGGTGGTGGCCATACTGGTTGGAGTCGTGCGTGGCTGCTCAACCTACACGCACGGTTACTCGAAGCCGAGGAATGTAGCAGGCATTTAGACTTGCTTTTGTCCCGGTCTACTTTGTCCAATCTGCTGGACAGCCACCCTCCATTCCAGATTGACGGCAACTTTGGTGGTGGGGCGGGTATTATCGAAATGCTAGTCCAATCCCATGAGCCTGGAGTAATTCGCATCCTTCCAGCATGTCCGAGGGACTGGACTGGATCTATCCGGGGAGTGCGGGCGCGTGGTGGGTTTGAGCTGCAATTTGATTTCGAGAATGGCCGTGTTATAGGTGAAGTGACTATCATTTCGAAACGTGGAGAGACTGCGGTTGTTTACTTCAATGAGTCACAAGTAGAGATTGCTGGTGGTGGTAAACATAGGATCAACTAGATATATCAATGAATCAATCAAGCTATAGCTTCCAATTCTCAATTCTATGCAAGAGCATCTTTTAATATCTTAAGGTACTTTCGTACTTTCGTGCTCGAAGTGTTGACATCCCCACCGTCACCCCTCTGTGTAACTGCAAAGGTCCCTGCACTTCCTAAACTACCACGGAGCAACACCCGCATATCCCAATCTCGGGGTAAATCGAAGAGAACAATGATATTTTATCCGGATAATGTCTTTGCGGGGCATCTTCGATGAGAGCTCCGAGCTCAGAAAATAAATTGTCAACCCTTGTCACAATCCCACCAGTCCCAACACAGAAGCAACACAGCAAGATGGATTTAAACTCAGTGCAAGATCTCAAGAATGTACTTCGTCCTGACTTCTTCCACGGCTACGCCACAGCAGCAGCCCAAATAGAAGGCGCCTGGAACAAGGACGGCAAAGGCGTATCAATCTGGGATACATTCGGCCACACACCAGACAAAATCGCCGATGGAAGTACAGCCGATGACGCCGTCCGAGCTTACGACTTTTACCGCGAAGATGTGGCACTCATGAAGTCCTATGGTGTAAACGCCTACCGCTTCTCTCTATCCTGGTCTCGTATCATCCCCCTCGGTGGCCGCGACGACCCCGTCAACGAACTAGGAATCAAATTCTACTCCGATCTCATCGACGAACTCCTCCGCAATGGAATCACCCCCTTCCTCACCCTATTCCACTGGGATATCCCCCAAGCCCTAGAAGATCGGTACGGTGGCATGCTGAACCAGGACGCCTATACGCCGGACTTTGTGCGCTACGCCCGCGTCTGCTTCGAGCGCTTCGGTGACCGCGTCAAGCATTGGATTACATACAATGAGCCGGGCGTCTATACCCTCGCCGGTTATGCAGCGGGTGTCCACGCGCCAGGTAGATCGTCCTTCCGTGAGCGCAATACCGAGGGTGATTCATCCACAGAGCCGTTCACCGTCGCGCATACTGAACTCGTCTCGCATGGCCATGCTGTGCGCTTGTACCGGGAGGAGTTCCAACCCCAGCAGAAGGGAACTATTGGCATCACGCTGCATGGCAATTGGTCCGAGCCGTGGGATGAGGAGGACCCACGCGACCAAGAGGCTGCGGAGCGTGCGCGCGAGTTCGAGATTGCTTGGTTTGCGGATCCGTTGTACAAGACAGGTGATTATCCTGCATCTATGCGGGCGCAGCTCGGTGACCGGTTGCCGAGGTTCACGGAAGAGGAATCGAAGCTTGTGCTTGGGAGCTCGGACTTCTATGGCATGAATAGCTACACGACTTTCTTTGTGAAGCATACAACATCTACGCCTGATATCAATGATCACAAGGGCAATGTGGAGATCTTTGATGAGAATAAGCAAGGTGTGTCTCGTGGGGAGGAAAGTGACACCCTGTGGCTGCGGGCTGCGCCCGGGGGATTCAGGAAGTTGTTGAATTGGATCTATAAGCGATACCAGATGCCAATTTATGTCACTGAGAATGGTACTACCGCCAAGGGTGAAACAGCCCCCACACCTGAGGTTCTTAATGATGAGTTCCGCATCAAGTTCTTTGAGGGCTATGTCGGCAATGCGTTGGCGCGGGCTGTGAAGGAAGACGGAGTTGATATCCGGTCTTACTTCGCTTGGACATTCACTGATAATTGGGGTAAGTGGCTGTTTTCTTCGTCCACTATATGAATAATTGACTGATATTCTCTAGAATGGGCCGCTGGGTATGCGGATCGCTTTGGTTCCACATTTATCGACTATGAGTCTGAAGAAAAGACTCGCTATCCCAAGCAGTCTGCGTATTACCTGAACAAGTTGTTCAAGCATTTGATTAACGATGCATAGGTGATTTATATAGGAATATAAGTAGTCAATATCAATGAAATGCTTGCAAGAAAGACAGCATTATCGGTATTATATATATTGTAATAATCCACACCACCTACATAAGTAAATATACGAGACAAGCCTTACACCGGGGTGTATTGGAGACTGGTGTCATCACTACCCCCCTGTGTAACACCATAGAATAGTGATTTTATTTGTTGGAATCTCAAATTGTAGCCAGTTAGGGCAGGTCATGCGATGCCTATCGGCTAGACCCCGAATGACTCCAACTGAGGGGAACCCGGCCCGACCGTTGATGCCTCAAGTCAATTAAATAGCTGGTAATAGCATTGGTTTTGATCATCTGTACAGTGACTATACATATCCAAAATGTCTGAAAATGAGCCGATCAAGCTGAAGCTCCAGGGCACTCCTCGAGAAGTACATGGCCCAATATCAACGCCTGCACATATAACTTCAACTGACTCATATTAGATTGGATTACAACATGGTCGCGCATTGCGAGAGCAAATTCACAGTCAGATATCCATCTACGACGCCATGTTCCAGTACACCTCAAAACTAGCCTGGAAAGATGCTCGCGAGGTCGCAACCGAATTCCAACCCACGCTACAGAATCTAACACCTCATCTATTCACGGAGATGGAAGGTATCGCCGAGGGCGCCGGGTTAGATGTGCTCGACATCATAACGCTCAACTGCCGAAGCGAGATAGCTCTTGGCCGATTTTCCGATGGCTGCACAACACTAAGCTGGAAGAAAAATGAGACGACGCGAGTGCTCTCTCAGAATTGGGACTGGACGAAGACTGTCAAGAAGAACCTAGCAATGGTATCAATTGAGCAGGTTGGAAAACCTACTATATATATGGTTACCGAAGTGAGTACACCTGTGTGTATCTATGTTCAGACATGTAACTAACTAACTATGGCTAGGCAGGAATCGTCGGCAAGATTGGCTTCAATACTAACGGCGTCGGAACTGGTCTCAACGCAATCCGCGCCAAACCGATGCTCAGTAGCAAGGTCCCAATTCATGTTGCGCTTCGGTTGTGTTTAGAAAGTACTTCTGTCGACAATGCCGTGAAGACTCTCGAGTCTTTGGGTGGTGTTGCATCTGCCCAGCATATCCTTTGTGCCGATAGTACCACAGCCCTGGGGCTTGAGCTATCGCCCGTGGGAGACAAGCATATCTCCGAGGACGCATCGGGGATTATCAGACATACCAACCACTTTCTTGAGAATCACTATGTGAATGAGCCGTCCTGGCTATCCGGGTCGCCTATCCGGCTTCGGCGGCTAGGGGAGTTGACGCAAGAGTTAATTCAAGGTGGTGTTCAGGGCGATGCTATTACACCCGCTTTGTTGCGAGAACGTATCTTCTCCGATACATATAACAAGCCTCAGGCAATATGTTGCGAGGAGGATCCATCGCGCCATATCTCGAATAGAAGTAGTTCTTTGTTCAACATTGTTATGAACTTGGACCCGAAGAATCTGGGAGCGGAGGTGGTCTTTGGAAGGGTTGGATCTGGAGAGGAAGGGCCTGTGTTGACAATGCCTTGGTGAATATCATGAAAGGCAGCTGAATATAGGCTTTGAATGGGTGTTTTATATATCAAGGAAGATGATATGACTTTGTGATAGAATTGCTTTATCAAATACCAATCCTTTACCTCGAATATCTGTGCTATGTTTGGAATATAAAGAATCCATAAAGATCATTGTTGCTTTGTTTCTCTTGGGCCAAATACTCGACTAAATGGTTGCAAAAAGGTATAAAAGAGGCCAGATGCACCACCTTTACATGTCTCATCATCTACCAGCTACTCAGACTCCAAGCAATCAGCACAAAAGCCACTACCACAAGTAAGCCTCACAATTTTTACTCTATTCAATACTGTATCACTCTTATTTCCCACCAACACCATGTATGCGCGCACTTTCCATGGTACGTACGAAGAGGAGCGACGCCACTTCATGACCACATTGCACGCTCAGATTAACATCCTCCAGGACAACCATAAGGGGAGCCGAAAGATGGTTGTCAATTCTCTGGCTCTTCTGCTCCTGCGAGTTGAGGGCCTGAGAATGGCGGGACAGGCTCGTTATAACTACGACAACCCTAATTGGACTGCCAAGTGCAACAAGCTCTATGAGCGGGTGCGCTATTTCAGAGATACTCTTGCCATGGACCCGACCAGCATTCACAGAGTCGCCACTGAGATCGAGAGCATGATGATCTTTCTAGACTTTTGTGTCCCTGCGGATATTGAGCACAGGATTTCGCCTGATCGGGGTGACCGGAGTGGTGCCCCTTCGCCTGAGCCTAGGCGTTGATTGCGATCTTTAGTGCTTTAGCCCTTTAGCGTTTGGGTTTTAGAGATGTTTAGATCAATGAAATTATTCAGTTGAAATTTGTCCCGAGTAATGGTACGTAGTATTCTAGAGTAGTATAGTATCAGCATAGTAAGATGGCCACGTACTTGTGAGACTCAATATTAATACGGAGTAACATAACAAGCCCAATCCCTATATTTTCCTTTTTTGCCAAGTCAGATTTGCAATAGAATGCAGCTGAATGGCCTTTTCAGCTCTCCGTAATAGGCGGATGTTATGCAAAACGTCATTGATAGCGACGATCACGAATCATTCTAGTAATCAAGTACTTTGTGATTCGCACAGAACATATATACGTTGTACATGTATTTAGATCTGGGAAAAAAGCAAAAAAGAAACGCAAGGGTTATTGGCCACCGCCCACAATCTCTTTCTTTGTCTCATCCTTCTCTGACTTCATATGCGCATCACTCATCATGGCCTCGGCAACAGGAATTCCTCAAGAGCACCCCGCAACAATTATATCGCAAGAAGATGAGCCTCTATTGGGCCATCCAGGCGATGTCACACAAAAGCCCGACGAGAGAATTTATCGGAATCTCTTCACAGGTGAGCGTGAAAGCTTCTGGTCGAACCCCCATAACTGACTTCAAACTCAGGAACAGCGAGTGTCGCGCAAGCAGGGATTTGGATTGTGAGAGCATTCTAAACTATTCAGAAGATCAGAAATCTAATAAAATAAAACAGTTAGCAGCGTTGGTCTGGCAAGGCGTCTTATCCCTGCCCCTCTCGCTATTCACCCCGCATCCAGTATGGAGATAAGAAGCCAACCAAAATATCAAAATATCAAAATATCAACACTAACTGGATATTCAGCTACTCGGCAGCTCTGCCCTTCTTCTTCAAGTCCAAGCAGCTCTCATTTTACAACCAACCGCCACCCCGCAACAGAAGCGTACCGGTACTCGCATCCACTACATCTTACAACTACTCAGCGTGGCCCTTTTTATATCTGCCTTTGTTATTATCGAGGTTAACAAGGGCTCTCATCCGCACTTTGTCTCTCCCCATGGCATTCTAGGTCTGATCACTTACATCGCTATCGTGCTACAAGCCGTGGTCGGTATTATTCAGTACTTTTTGCCGGTCACCGTCTTCGGCAGTGTCGACGCTGGGAAGCGCATTTACAAGTATCATCGCTGGAGCGGCTATGTTTTGCTACTGCTGGAGGTGGCGACTGTCGTGGCGGCGACGCAGACCACCTACAACGTGACGGCGATTCACATTCCTCTATGGGGTGTACTTGTTTCTGTCGTTTTCATTCTCGCTGGAGTGGGTGCGAGGATTAAGAAGCGTAAATTGGGACTGTGAGGTGAGCAATGAGAGGGTGATTCAACAATACTGCGGACCATTCATGAACCGAATATGTGAACTTAGCGATGTGAACATTGAGCCGATGACCAGAACGGAGTGACTGACTCACCCTGTTCTCCGGGAGTCGATACTGCAGCGTCATTTATAAAATATTTGCTCTGCAATCTATTATAACACGGTTTTATCTTGAAGGTTAGGGTCTTAGGGTCTTCGGACACCCGACAGAATCCCCTCTCTTGTTCAGAAAGGGGAACTCTGATATGGAAAAAAGCCACTTCATGGATCCTGTAACCATGCATCGGATTAATATTTCTGTATCAAATACACGTTACCTAGTACAGTGATAGTATTAACAATAAAAGTGTGGTCTAAAGTGGTGGTTAAGACAGCTGAAACCAGCGAGACCTCGGAAGGATTCTACTTTACCGTCCCAACTCTTGACAGACATTGCCTACCAAGTTTGAAATGAGAATATCAAGAAGATTTGTTAGCAAATGCATGTGTTTGATCTTCGTTCATAACAGACCCGCAACGAGTATCGAGTATGATCGTGCGAGATTTGGATAGTTGTCGTCTGCTCGGAGCCTTTGGCTCTTCGTTGACAAGGGTATGTGACGCTTCGGTGCTTCTATCCTACATTTTCGGGTGACATTCCCTAAGAAGGGATATATATTGATAAATATCAAAGTATTGAATCCAAATTAAATATCCTTGGCAATGCTGGTGTGACTTTGGATACTCTGTACTTATGAAGTACATATTGAACATGCCGATCCCCCAAAAGGGTTAAGGCGAGAGGATCCACTATCCACCACTCATTGCCTGTTCACTTCTTTTCTTCCCCAAAATCCAATGGCGCTCACTTCATATGTCTGCTTCAATTGCAGGAATTCTTATGGACTGAGAGCATCTCTGCGCAATTTTTCCTCTGCCCGACGCAATCGAGACATATTACGACCCGCGACAGCTCCGAAGCCCACGCCGGACGTCAAACACATCCGCCAAAATGCCGACCTCTACGCACAGAATTGCATAGATCGCAACTATGCAGGTCACGCCGGCTATCCGTCAAAGATTCAACAATTATCAGAGGAAGCTAGGCAGCTCGATCACGACTTGAAAACCCCTCGATCCCGCATCAAGCAACTAGAAAAGACCATCGCCAAGCTACACATTGCGACTCGACAAGGCACAGATGGAAACACCAATGAGAAGGGCATGAGTCCAAGCGAGGAACTAGCCGAACTCAAGTCAGAAGCTCAGCGCCTAAAGGACGACTCGCAGTCCATGACAGAACGCAAAGCAACCTGCACCGAAGAGATCAACCGACTAGCGCTCTCCCTCCCAAACCTCTCCTCTCCATTCACACCCATCGGACACGACCCAACTCTCGTCCAATACCTCAACTTCAACCCTCAAGAACCCCCCACCTGGACCCGGCAATCCCAAACCGAGCTCCAAGCCCGGTCGCACGTCACCATCGGCACAGAGCTCAAACTCCTCGACTTCGCCAGCTCCGCCACAACAACAGGATGGGGCTGGTACTTCCTGATCAACGAAGGCGCAATGCTGGAACAAGCACTCGTCCAGTACGCGCTGAGCACAGCCCGCCGCCGAGGCTGGAAAACCGTCGCCCCGCCCTCACTCGTCTACTCCTACATCGCCGAAGCATGCGGGTTCCAACCCCGCGACCAACACAACGAGCAACAGATCTGGTCCATTGAGCAAAACGAACGCGACAAAAACACCAAACCCCAGCGCTCGCTAACCGGCACCGCCGAGATCCCTCTAGCAGCCATGTACGCGGGGCGTGACATGAACGCCTCCGAGCTACCGATCAAGCTGGTCGGCGCGAGCCGCTGCTACCGCGCCGAGGCGGGTTCCCGCGGCGTCGATACGAAGGGCCTGTACCGCGTTCACGAGTTCACCAAGGTCGAGCTGTTCGGCTGGGCGGATAGCGTGGACGGGGCCGTTCCAAGCTCGGACGATATGTTCAACGAGCTGTTGGATATGCAGATGGAGATTCTGACGGCGCTGCATTTGCCCTGTCGCGTGCTGGAGATGCCGAGTGGGGATCTGGGGGCTAGCGCGACGCGCAAGCGAGATATCGAGGCGCTCTTCCCGTCTCGTCTGCGCGCGGCGTCCGGTTGTACTGCTACGCCTGTTGATCCTGAGATTCATCATCTGGAGTCGGCTTGGGGTGAGGTTACTTCTGCTTCTATCTGTACGGATTACCAGAGTCGGCGGTTGGCGGCTCGGGTGCGTGGCGGTGGCGCTAAGGAGTCACGATTCCCGCATACTGTTAATGGGACTGCTATGGCTGTTCCGCGTGTGCTGGCTGCGATTTTGGAGAATGGGTGGGATTCTGAGCGGGGTGTTGTTGTTATTCCTGAGGTTTTGCGGCCTTGGATGGATGGGATGGAGAGTATTGCTCGAAACTAGATGCGCTAAGGGGTTATTCTCGCTCTCCTCGTGGAGACGCTGTATATTATGTACTTTTTAGGGACGTGGCGGACATATATGTACTTCATCTATTGCAAGTCTGCTTCATTTGAACTACCTATAATATACAAAGACTTGGTGGTTATTTTCATGAATCTTGCATTGCGTTACCTGCGACCTTTTGGTATCTCTAAAACATAGTAGACAAAAACGAGGTCTTCAAGACCCCCAATCGCTGCCTTATTAAGGGCAGGATAGAGCAGAGTATTAAATAGAAACAGAACAGAACAAATTAGGGACAGGGCCAATCATGACTTCGTGAACACATGAATCAGAAACAAAACAACATAAATCAAGTAAGCATAAACATCACATCATTGCAAATCACAGAGACAGGAGTACAACCTGGTCTCTTTCGTCAGACAAGACCAGTAGCCTGAGAAGGATGGCAGATAAAAAAGGAAATAACCAAACGTCAAAAACCCCGAGAAGGGCAGAGATATCCAAAAAAAAAAAAAAAAAAGTTTAAGGACCAAACGTAAGTCAAATAGATAGATCCCAAGAAATTGCCAGGATCATTTCCAAGGTATATCTATATCTTCAACACGGGTGCATGTCAGATATGGCAACCCCACCGGAGTATTCTCACGAGGACCGACGGTGCTAGTGGCTGTTTGGTCTGGGCTCTTCAACTCCAACTCGAGGAAATTACGCATCAGCGGCTTGACGATATCCCGTGCCAGTCGTTTCATCTCGTCCATCTTGCGCTCGAAGCGTTTCAGAGTCTCGCGTGTGTACAGCGAGCCAGAGGAGGATGTAGGATGGAGTTTGAGGAAGCGTTTTAGCTCATCGTGGGGCAGGTATGCCTGCGGAGAAGAGGAGCCGATCAATCTATAGATGCGCGCGGACGGGTCTGGGGAAGTGCTTGATCGCGACGTGCTTGCCGGGTGTGACGCCGATGCGGTAGGTTGGACGGGACCATCGCTTGGACCCGAGTTTTTAAGAATAGGAGCTGGCGGTGGCGTGGTGCTTTCTATCAGCCATTGGCGGAAGAGACATACGGCGAGCCAGTCCAGGTATGCATTTGACGGGCCGACACGTTCGCCGCGCGAGGTAGTCAAGGATAGGCGTAAGAGCTTGGATTCAACGCGCGCTTTGAGCTCGTCGAGATCTTCTACTTTGTC